AGGGACCCTCACACCCCCCCCCACACCCTCCCTCCCCATGCACCTCGTGGTCTGGTCTCACTTGGTCCTCAGTGTCCCCGAGCATGGGTGGCAGCCCATTTACAGTGGAGACTGAGGTGCAGAGAGGGGCGAGGCCCGCTCAGGGCTCCGCAGCTGGTGGGGCTGAGCCAAGGGCAGGGAGCTGTGGCAGGTGAGGGGGCCAGGTGCCCTCCCTGCCAGCCTCTGCCCGCTCTGCGCTCAGCGTCCTCACCTCAGTGAGGAGGGCGGATGGGCCTGGAGTCTGGGAGGGGCCTCGCAGGATCCCCACAGCGCACACGGGGGCCAACCATGTCAGCAGGTTATGTCCCCGAAGCCCAGCCAGGGCCTGTGACCGTGGCTGTCCTCACCGTGCCAGATGCTGCGGCTGGACATTCCCCGTGACCCACCCTTTGTTCCTGTGAACTTGGCACTTGGGAATGTTCCTTGGTTTGGCCCTTAATACCCTCGTGCAAAAATAGGTACCAGGGAGCCTCCAAGGGCCTGGTGTCCTTGTCTTAAGGGGCCGCCCTGTGCCCGGGGGCTGGGCCGAGCAGACATCCCAGGCTCTGGAACCCCTGGGCCCACACCCTTAAGGGCTCCCAGAGGTGCTTTTAAAAACATTCTTGTAATCCCCAAAACCTTGCACATCCGTTACACAAAATTAGAGAAATACATTTAGAAAAAGAATTAAGTAAAAACACCTGTAATCCCTCCACCCAGAGATAGTCAGTATTTACCTGTGGAGGCATTTTCTTCCATCTTTTTGGATGGAAGTCCCACTCAGGCCTCCTCTGCCCTCCCAAGCCACAGTCACAGAGGGGAGCCTAGCCCAGTCCTGGCCCCCAAAATGCCTGTGCTGCAGGACAGAGACCAAGCTCTGGTCCCGATGTGGTGACAAGAAGAATCCTAATACAGAGGGGGTTTTATGCTTTACACGCTCCCACGCCCCGGCCTCAGAAAGTAGCATTGCCGCCGCCGTGGTCCTTAGCCACAGACCCAGCCCCCCTCTGCGTCCCCACCCTCACATTCAGTTAGTGGTGCCCCTGTCTCTCCCGGCTCCAGAGCTGTGCTCAGAGGACGGCCACCTGCCCCCTTTCCTGGTGCCCCCATCCTGTCCCCACACAGCCCCTCTGGTTCGTTAGCTGCCATCCCCTGCTCAGCACCGCCCTCACTTCCTCTGGCCCGAAGCCTGGCACTCCTTCAGGCCCTCAGGACCTTCCCCTGCCACCCAGCCAGCCTCTTCTCTCATCCCCCTGTCCCCTTCCCGGAGGCCACTCCTCCGCCACCTGTACCTTCCCGGCCACATTGCCGGCTCACTCTCCCTCCGCTGCCCTTTCTGCTGGGCAGTCCCTGCTGGAATGCCCCACACCCCCTTCCTCCACCCTCGCCTGGCTCGTGCCTGCCGGTCCTGAAGGCTTCGTCCCGGCCTCTCTTCCAGAATCCCCACCCTGGCTCTTTCCACCGCAGACTGAGGCCGGCTCCACCTCCGTGGTTGTGTCTTCAGGTGTCCTTCTTCCCGTCCGGGCTGAGGAGCTCTCTCCAGGCAGGGGGGCCCAAGAAGTGCCAGGCGCAGGCCAGGTGCCCGGAGTGCAGTTGGGACTGAGGTGCAGAGAGGGGCGAGGCCCGCTCAGGGCTCCGCAGCTGGTGGGGCTGAGCCAAGGGCAGGGAGCTGTGGCAGGTGAGGGGGCCAGGTGCCCTCCCTGCCAGCCTCTGCCCGCTCTGCGCTCAGCGTCCTCACCTCAGTGAGGAGGGCGGATGGGCCTGGAGTCTGGGAGGGGCCTCGCAGGATCCCCACCGCACACACGGGGGCCAACCATGTCAGTGGGTTATGTCCCCGAAGCCCAGCCAGGGCCCAGGGCCAGCATCCAGCCGAGGGTCTGTGACCGTGGCTGTCCTCACGGGCCTGGAGTCTGGGAGGGGCCTCGCAGGATCCCCACAGCGCACACGGGGGCCAACCATGTCAGCAGGTTATGTCCCCGAAGCCCAGCCAGGGCCTGTGACCGTGGCTGTCCTCACCGTGCCAGATGCTGCGGCTGGACATTCCCCGTGACCCACCCTTTGTTCCTGTGAACTTGGCACTTGGGAATGTTCCTTGGTTTGGCCCTTAATACCCTCGTGCAAAAATAGGTACCAGGGAGCCTCCAAGGGCCTGGTGTCCTTGTCTTAAGGGGCCGCCCTGTGCCCGGGGGCTGGGCCGAGCAGACATCCCAGGCTCTGGAACCCCTGGGCCCACACCCTTAAGGGCTCCCAGAGGTGCTTTTAAAAACATTCTTGTAATCCCCAAAACCTTGCACATCCGTTACACAAAATTAGAGAAATACATTTAGAAAAAGAATTAAGTAAAAACACCTGTAATCCCTCCACCCAGAGATAGTCAGTATTTACCTGTGGAGGCATTTTCTTCCATCTTTTTCTGTAGATAAGCTTTGTTTTCAGCCTAAATAGACGTCATGCTGCTTGGAATCCCGCCTAACAGTGTTACACACACATTCTTCTGTTGTTTAAACGTGTGTACACAGCATACAGCTTTAAGTGTTTGTGTACAGCTGTTAACAGCTGTAAAGTGCGGCAGCATCTGGAGGGACTGTAGCACCCATAACCGCCCTCTGGATGGGGCCGGGCAGGGCAGCCTAGACCGACAGCAGGAGGGGGCTCTGCAGGGGCTGTGGGCCTGGAGGAGCACCACGTTTGGGGGGAGTGGACCAGGGAAGAGAAGGCCATGGGGGTTGGGTTGCAGGGGCCCCTTGTTTTGCGGGTTAGAATTCCAGCGCCCACACTGAGCTGTGGCTGCTTTCCTGGCCCCGTGCTTCCTCTTCTGTGAAACCGGCGGGGGGTGAAGCATAAGCCGTGTCTCCCCCTATAACACCCGGATATTACTGCCTACCCGACAGGCCGCGAGGACCCCCGAGAAGTCTGTGGGAAGCGCCAGGAACAGAGCACGTTCCAGATACATGTTTGTTGTCATTAATGACAGAAATGCCCGGCATAAGTCAGCTCTCACTCAGGCGAGCTGCCCTCTGCCATTCCAAGAGGGTGGCACTTGGTTCTGGGGCAGCAGGAGCCACGGAGATGGCCAGTAGCTGTGGCCCCAGGGTTCAAGTCCTGCCGTGTTTGCCAGCTCAGGTCGGCCGTGGCCCGCAGTGCCCGGTTGTGTATGCCGCGTCACCGCCGGTGTCCCGCCCACAGCCGGGGCACGCACTTGGGTCTGCACATGCCGCCGATGACGGGTTTTGCAGAAGTGGCCTCGTGGTCTGGCTCCCGGAGCCTGGGGTTTGGAAACAGGCCTGCACTGCTTTGATCTGTGGGCCGATTGGCGTGGCCTGACTGCGCTTCAGGTTTGCGCCC